ACTCACTCAATATTTCCATCCAGCAAGCAATCCAGCGCGAAAACAAGCATCATGTGCCGCTGGCTTTACCAAGAAAAAGTTAATGATTGTAATACATATGTGTCTGCCTGCACTGACTGACAATCAATAAGCTGTAACAATCGTGAAAGTGCAATTGTGAATTCTTTCGATTCGAAAGTTAGTCAGAGCAAGATCATGCTCATATCTTGCCTTGACTGGTTGGATTATGTCCGAATTTTGCCTTGATTGGCTGAATCATATCCAAATCTTGCTTTGACTGGCTGGGTCATATCCGAATCTTGCCTTGAATGGCTGGATCATGCCCAGATTATCTTGCCTTGAATGGCTGGATCATGTTCAGATTATCTTGCCATGACTGGCTGGATCATGTAAAATAACACTACAGGAAAGCGAATTTGTATTTTTATCAAAATACTGCAAATTTAGAACTTTATAACTCGAAAAGTACGTAATAGAAAAATATTTTATTATAGTGTTTTGGAAAGCTCTCGAGATAAGCTACAAGAATATGTAATAAAAAATAGTATGTTCCATTTAAAAAATTGAAGATGACCTTCATGTAATTTTCAAATGACTATCCAAGGTCAAACCAATGATACCACCTTATGACCCCCTCAAAACCATACTTTTTATTTGAAACATTTTTCCCTAAAATAAAAAATAAGAAAGTTATTTGGGGTGCATTCTTAAAATGGGACGCCCTGTATATGCGTGCAAGGGGTTACTAGACCGATTGACTTTCACAGGTAACTTCGTCAATTTTGGGAAATTTTCAATAAAATTTCCAGAGAATATAGTTAAAATATTATAATTGTCGAATAAAAATATTTTTGAGACATCTTGATTTTTTCGATTTCCCTAGATGTATTGTAACGTGGGAGCGGTGCAGCTGCACATCATCAGAGGATCAGACTGTCGAAATGAGAAATTAGATTGATTTCTTAGTGATTTCTCAGGCTAAGCCGCGAGAAATTTGTGCGAATATTTATGTTTATGTAAGGAAAAACAATTGGCCTCAGAAGAAACGCCCATATCAATAACAAACGGAAAGATCGGCGGTATTCCAAAACAAAAGGATCATTTTAGAGATGTCAGGGGCGGGGGGGGGGGGGG